TTCCTGTTGCCAGTTTGCATATTCAGTGAAAAAGTATGCGAGTGGAGCAGTGGAAGGGTTGTTCAGAGATGGGAATTGTTCCAAAACTTCTGTACATTTTATAGATCATTCAGAATAGTGTGTGGCTGCATGTTAAAGCAAGGGAAGGTTGCAAAATGTACTTTTATGATGTGTTACAGTGGTAAGTATGTAAGGTAGTGTGGGCCTCTCAACAGTTAGAAGTTGGACAGCTCTGGTGTCGAGAGTAGCATTGTGTAGCGCATGTTGCTCCGTCAAGTATAGTAAATAAATATAAATGTGGGCATGGGGGTTCCAGAACTTTTTCAGTTTGTTGAATTTAGGTGCATATGGTGGATTGTTTTTAATAATTTCCTGTCAAATTTTCTTTATGCAGTCATTTTTATTCTTTGGGCAGAGATCTTTTCAGAGTACATTCTGCTATGTTTTTTTCTAATTCTGTAGTGATGTATAAAATTGATATTACTGAAAGTCGTAGTTTTTCTTACTTCATAATTTAATTTTCTAAAGACTGAAATTATATAAACAAATTCTAACTCTTGCTTCATGTTTGAATTTTCTTGACAGAATTCCGCAACGGAAAGTCGAATATCCTGGTTGCCACCGATGTGGCCGCACGAGGTCTAGGTCAGTCCCATTTCCCTACATAACATATCTTGCCTTGTTTGATGGGGCACGTGAGTACTTGGTATTTTGCTTGGCGTAAAGTTGGTAAGGCAACAGGTAAATGCAGTGCGATAGTAGTCCAGACTGGTTGATAACTTTCTTAGTAAGAGTGGATCGTTTGATGGAGGTCGTAATTTCAGCTTCAGTTGCTTGTGTTCACACAACAGGTGTTCTTCGTCTCGTTAAAAGAATTAAGATGTAAGCAAAATAACCTGTTCAGAGATAGCGCAGTAGTTTGTCTCAGGAAGTTATGTGGAGGGCAGTGAAATACCAGTTTGTCGTCGTCATTGAATTCTTTGAGTTTGAAGATTATTGTTGGCTATTCCTAAATGTGATGTGTTATGAGGCCCAATATGAAAGATCATTAGGAAAGACAGTTTAAGTTCTCTTATCGCTGATGGAACAACAAAAAATTGGTAATAGAAGTAACAGGAACTAAGAGTGATACTTAAATAAAACACATTTTTTTATATCATTTCATTTTGCAGTAACAAGAAGAGCAGTTACACATAACAGATCTTACTAAATAATTACGGTTTACAATGATTCGTCTTGAAGAAGGAACTCATTCATTAAATTCTCAAATGATAATCAAAACTAACATTTGAGGTTCTCACAGTAGTGACTTCAAAGAATGCTTTCTTCTGGGATGTGATATGTGGTAGAATTTTATCAGCATTTCAGAGGAATATGTTTCTTCCATCTTGGGGGTCACAGCTGAAGTCATTTCCAACCATGGCAGCCCGGGTTCTATCCCGGTCAAGTGGGATTTGTGGTGGACAAAGTGGCGCTGGGGCGGGTTTTCTCCGAGTACTTCAGTTTCCCCTGCCAATCTTCATTCCACCAGATTCTCCATCATAATCACTATGGACAGGCTACAATAGGCCAGTCAGTGGCCGCCATGCCGAGTGGACCCAGTAGGACTTCACCCCCCACTCAGCAAATTAAAAAAAGCTGAAGTCAAATAAGCAGCAGAGTTCTTGTTGCTTCCTCACCCTACTCTTACCCTTAATGACAGTTTGGGACATGTCCTTGTAGTATAATGCCCTTCATATTAATAATTTGCTTGATATAAATATGGAATGCTTTCATCTATCCAGTAAGATTATCACAGATATAATAACCTTCACATTTTGGCACAACTATTATTCTCAGGGAAGCACTGGAGGCTATTGAATACAAGATGCTTTGAAGTAACATGCAGTGTTGTCTTAAGGACTTTTAAAAATATGTATTTTGATAGTGTTTGAAATGTGTTTAATGTGGGTTCCTAAGCTGCAGATTATTTAGCTTTTATGTGAGTCTGACATGTTTCTGTTCTCTAGCTGTGATGTAGAATATGTTCACAACCAGCCACTTCTCGGTTTCCTTATATGTTGTCATGTATTGCAACTTAAGTTTCTGTCTTGTTTTCTGGGTGTCACAATTGTGATTTTGAGGAGTTTCAAAGAATGTTCTAAATATTTGGAGCCCAGCTTTCCAAAAAGAAATTGATCTGACAGTTTTATTAAGTTGCCAGAAATGTGGGATATTTCTGTCTTGTAGGAATTCATAAACTTGTCCCTCTGCTTAGCCATGCTAACCTCAACACTAGATGGAGGTGAGGGTGTAAGGTTCACTGCTGAGCTGGGCATACCAGAGCCAGTCTGGGTGCTGTGGAGAAGAGAAAGTCTTTTCTCCCTACTGGAAATTTGAAACCTGATGCCTTGGCTGTTCAGCATGTGGCCAGTCAGTGTAAATATATATTCTCCAAAGTGTTGGAATTCAAGTTTAATTCAAACCAGTAGTAGATGACACTAGTAATTGGTAATTTACTGTAAAATGGTTTGAGAGAACATAACGTGGGTGTGCTGTTAAAGTTGCATCAAGTTTTGTGGTCTGCACTGAATATGAGCAGTGTTGCCATTGTTGTGGAGGTACATGTCTCCATCTCTGAAGACGGCATGTGCCTTCAAATGTTGCCTGCATTGCCCATGTTCACACAAAATAAGACCCAAGAACTGGGTGAATAACAGCGGAAGGGCAGTAGCACGTGAAGATTAAGTTATTTTGGTGAAGGGGGAGGTTTTGAGGTACTTGATTGATGAGGACAGTAAGGATGAGCTTGAGTTGGCAGTTTAAAATCCAGATATGGGCCAAAATGTGTGTGGATGTTCTGCAGGTAAATTTGATATGTTAACGTGTTTACATGACCTTTATTTAAGTAGCTCGTCATTCTAGATTCATTTGCATCACTGAAGCGCCTATAAAAATCACTATCCATGAAACATCTTGAGAATTTGTGAATGGATCTTTATGAAATAATGTGGGGAAGTTAGCTAAAATTTGTCTGCTTGTTCCAGTTTTGGTTAACATTTGGCAATGATAATGGATATTTTACTTGAAGATCTACAGGAATCATATCTCGAGTGAACTGACATGGGCCGAAGATATTTGGAACGATAGTTGTACAAAAGAATGGAACATACAGTTTATGTTAAGTACGTTTGGGTAATTAAAATCTTGTGAATGCGATAGAATTGTTGCTTTGTGCATACATTTGACGATTGTTTCCGTTCTAGACCAAATGGCTTACACATTTTAATTTCTTCGTTCAGTCCAAATGAGAAGTGGGTGGGTGATTGAGTGGCAGTAGAGATGAAGTGAAGGGTGAGGGAAACTGGAAAGATTGTTTGTTCTTGATTCTTTTGTTTGTAATTTAAACGAGACACATTACCATCCAAGCACTGTAGTTGGAAGATAAGAGTTTTATGTTGGCATTACCATCAAGCAGTGAGACATCCATAATAAAAGGAAATGTGATAGGAAGTGAGAGAGAGAGTTCTTGTGCCTGTGGGTGCATGTTTTGTTTGCAATTTGGATGTCTCATGATGTGCAGGTGTCTGTAAATGTGCTTATAGTTTCAGAACATTTCACTGTGGAGAATGATGCTACAGTATGACTAATGAAATTAAGGATAACTATTGGCCTAGTGAAGTAGCACCAGATCGTCCATCATGTGCCAGAAGATGAAAATTCATTTTAGATTTAAGCTTCGCATTGTGGTGGATCTCAAGATTGCAGTCTTCTTCTGGGATGTTTTAACAAATTTGGGCCATGCCATATCTGAGACATGGGCATTATACTTCCACCATCTCGCGTAACTGGCACCATGGCATAGCATTGTGTGTTCTGAAATTATAGCTGCCATATTGACTGACACCCTGTCTGTTTCCACTATTAATCAGTCTGGTATATGTCTGTGTTCCTTTTGTTTCAGAGGCACATGCGAGATGATAGAAACTGTTACATCTGGCAGTGCCTCTGCTCACTCTCAATATAGAGGCGGCGTCACGCGTTGCGTGCCGCTGACAATATGGTCTCCCCATTGGCTGACAGTTGGCAGGCCTGCCCAGTGCATACGTCACGGGCTACCCCTATACTTGTGTTCTCGTCCATTCAGTGATTTATGCAAAGGGGTTTATGAGACCAAGAGAGTCTGATGGCAAATGGGCACCTACAAGATACTATCAGTCACTGCTTCCCGACACACAGCAAGCAAAGTACACCTGCAAATTGGAATGCTAACCTCCAGTGCAAGTTTCACATTGGTTTCTTTCAAGTCTCTCTGCCCATGAGAGCAGCTCTTTAAAATAAGTGGAAATTACAGGAAATCAGTTGTCCAGGACTGAAGTATTATACTGCAAAAGTAAAGTCATTCTTGGACGTGGTCATTTATCAGCAATGAATTTTAAAATTTCTAACTGTGCTCTCAGATCATTATGATTCATTATGTCAGGTTCAACTTGCTCCTGAAACTTCCAGATATTTGAAGATGTTATCAAATTCATTTTATTTAATCACGTAAGACCTCTATATTTGCATACTGTTAGCAGTAATTTGTGGTGAGAATGGATGGAATCTTTTCTGTTCATACAAGACTTTGCAGGCCTCCTGCTGATGCATTCCACTAATCTGAAAAAATGGAAGGACTGGATTCTTGAGCTCAAAATATTTCTAAGTGTACGTGTATATTTAGGGATGGAAAATGTTCCCTTAAAATTTATTGCATAGAATGACTGGAGGTTATTTTTCCAAAATGTAAATAAGTGCAAAGTAGAGCGGCTGCTTCAGATGCTAGCCTTGCTCCGCCAAGTTATGACATCAAGATGTGGACAGGAATGCTTCAAGGAAAGGTTGGGTTTGTTTTTCTCTCATTCCATTGAAGCTTGTGGACTGAAAATGGTTGAAATTGAAGCGCTGTTGGCGATCACAGTGGTACAGGTATGGTAGATGACATATTTTTGCAAGGTGATGGGGTGTGCAGTATGCATTTGGTTAATGTACCTTCCAGGTGATAAACTGTTGTATATAAAGTTCATCATACTTTTACATTCCAAAAGCAGTTGCTGAAATTGTAAAGATGGCTGTATTCCATTTTGAAATTACAGCTCCCCACCCACCATGTTAAGGGATGTGTCCTTGAAAACATGTCTCTACTGTGAAATTCTGTTTTCCATTGACTTCCTTGTTATAAGGGGAGTGATATTATAACGGTAATACATCGCACTGTCTAAAGGTGGAAATAGCAAACTCACTGTTGTTTCTTGTACTCCCTTCTGCAGAATGGGATAAATGTCAGATTTATGCAGCTGCACAGTCCAGTCAGTAAGGTTCTATCTTGTTTGTGGGTGATGAATCCACTTGCTCCGTTTTCTCAGATATATGCATACCTCAAAAATGAAATGATACTACAGAACATCATTTAGTCAAGAGGCCAGATGTTAATTTTTCATTATGTTCAAACTTAAGGTTTCTACAAACTGAACAGAGCAGCATGTTTAATGTAAATTTCAGGGTTTCATCTGTGCCATTAGAAAAATATTGTTAGGTTGAGAAGTTTATGCTTTACTAAGAAAACAGTTTTCTTTAATGCCAGCGTATGCTCATATATACGTAATGTGAGGCTGTTGAAATCTCTTGTTCAATGCTTATTTTATTTGTTGGTTATGTAATATTGAATTGGACCAAATTTTAAATTGTCTAGTTTCCTCCACTTTTATGTCATAGAGATCATTGAGAAGCTTGAAGTAAGAGACGGGTACGAATCAGTCTTGAGTGAACATTGAAGAGTGTTTACTCATCTGTTTAATGTGGTTCTCTCTTATGTGGCAGATGTGGATGGTATTAAGTTTGTGATCAACTTTGACTACCCGAACTCGTCTGAAGATTACATTCATCGAATTGGGCGCACTGGACGTTGTCAGATGACAGGAACCTCGTATGCCTTCTTTACACCAGGCAATAGTCGTCAGGCCAGAGACCTAGTTGCTGTTCTTAGAGAAGCTAATCAGGTTGTAAACCCAAAACTGGATGAGATGGCTAATCGAGGAGGATTTGGAGGCAGAGGTATGGATACCGAAGCTGTATAGCAATTGTCTTACTATGTTAAATATTTGTATTTTGTAATATGTAATGGTGGGTTCTTGTGAACACAGTTACGGACCTTCAGGCTTCACAGGTGCAGAGATTGTTGAGGGAACGTTGGCTCCACAAACAGGACCCTAACTAAGTCTGGAGCAGACCCCTTGTTCAGAAGCTAATAGTTGAGAAATTCTCCATCCTTTATAGAACCCAGAAGTTCATGACTGTGGATAAGACCTCCGGCATCTAGAGTAACATTTTCCAAAATGGAAGGTATCCCCCTCAGGGGCCATTGAAAAAAAAATTGGCCATTAAGAAATATGCTGAATTTTAACCCAGAATGGCCATGTTTAATTATATGCGTATGTAGAGAACATGCTTCATAAACATATTGTGGTTCATTGGTAGTAATTTCTATCACAGATCATTTTTTGTGCAGATGAAAATTGTGAACCGCTTTCCTAGAACATGGTGGTAGTCTGCGATTCAGTTGCAGCTCAGGTAATTAGGGTGCTCTGAGGCCTGGGTTAAGACTAGAAGATTTCATGTTTACTTAATGCTGGACTGGCATAGTGCTAGACTAAGGGTTAAGGTTTTGATAACATGGCATTTCGTGGGCTCCACTACATGCCTCAGCTGGTGACCTATACAGATGCAGCATGATTGGAATGGGAAGGCGAAATAGTCTGAGAAAAACCTGCTGCAGTGAGGTACTGGATGGCATCTGTTTCTCATATCAAATTGTCTCCCACAGGTCGCTGGGGAAACAGTGGATTTGGGCGTCAACAGAATGGATTTGGTGGTGCCAAAAGGTGGGAAGGCAAGAACAATAATGGTGGTTTTGCAGGAAAGATAATGAAGGGAGGTGATATGGCAAACAGGAATAAACCATCGCGTTTCTCTGCTGTTGGAAAGCCTCCCCAGCCACAGGTAGGGAATAATTATGGCTACAGCCAGAGGATAGGAGGAGAAAACAAGTTCAACGTCCCTCCACCACCACCACCATCTGGTGACATGAATTGGATGAAGCAGTTTTCGCAACCTCCCAAGACAAGCAAACCTGTCCTGAGCGTGAAAGAACAGTGTAATGTTCGAGGAATGACAGCACCAGGCAACAGTAATGTCTACAGTTTCCCACCATTAATGAATGTTTGTCCTCAGATGCAAACTGTCCAACAGTAGACATCATAAAATCTAACAATTTGGCTCATTTCACGTACAGCCTGCATCTCAGGGTGGACTGAAGGTTGTCTTCTTGGATATATTTTCTATATATGAAAATGGATATCCTTTCACAAAGTCTAGAAAACGACCAGATTTTTATTCCATGATCTATTATGATGGTCTGTACATAGAAATCTTCTGCATATTATGTGGACATGGGTGAGGTGCAGACGTGGAGGTGGTGCAAGGACCTTTGTCTCATTGGAGTATCTGGGCTGTGTCCATGCTGGTTTCTCAGCAGCAGAAACCCAGAGAACAGTATTTATGATATTTGAAGCACATGAAACTTGCATTTTTTTTTTTTAATTTAAATGGTGAAAAATTCCTCAGGTTGGTTGTTCATGGTCCAGTTGAATACTGAGGCCGGAAGTGGGACGTCTTTGGTGTCCGTTATGTGATGAGGAAGCACGAGATCAATGCAGCTGTAGACTTTGATATTACTGACATGCGTTGTATTCCAGCATAATGTCATTCCAGTATTTTATTTTTTATTCGTTGTCAAGAAAGTGGACAATTAATTTGAAATTCAGTATCACTACATGACATTTTGTCATTTCACTTACATGGTGTGTTAATTTATTTCTTAGTTGTACTTGTTACACCTTACATTATAGTATGTCTTAAAACTCATTTTTATTGTAACACAGGTGTATATAAAAGTCTCTGTACTGTGCAGTAATGTCACATAAAATTAGTAGTGTACACAGAAGGAATGCTTGTATCTTACGTCCCACACTTTTTATTCCTTGATTGCTATGTGTCAAATGCCCTCTGCATAGTGTCACTTTATCCAGGCTATCATGGTCTCTAATTTGAACATTAATTTTTTTTTTCTTAATTTTTCTGATGAGAGATCTGTATAGTTGCTGTTAAATTGTACATACTCAAAGACAGATTATGATGCACATTTCAAAATATTTCCTCCAGTTCTGGTAAGTTAATGAGCTAGGATGTACACAGCAGTCAGCCATAGATGAGAATTTAAAATCTTATAATGGTCTTCAAATATGAAACATGATCTCACTATTTTATTCGCTGTTTTTCCTGCCTTTCTGACTGTGTTACTTTGTGTATTTTAAGTAGTTCATTCAAATAAAAATAATTAAATCTGGTGGTCGTATTTTCTTTTCCTTTTGTATGGCTCAAGTGTATCCCTACCAGGGATTTCCTGACCACACCTTGTCACATAAAGCCTCAATCCAGGGAGAACAATATAGCACTCGTCAGATGTTGCAGCTCTAGTGTTGGAAAGTGCTCGCAAGGTGACAGTTTTCAAGAGAATGTGTTGACGAATCCACTGGAACAGCTTACAAAATGTACAACCAGCAGCACACTTGGCTGACATGATGGTTGGCAGACAAGTCTGTTTTGGGGTTGACAGCCCTGAGCGCTGATATGGGGATCGGTGGCTTGACTGACTGTTGGCCTCTACCTGCCTGGCAAGTGGGAAGGAAATCATCTGTGAAGGTGTCTGGAATGTAAGATTCTGGTTACAGCTGTTATGGTGTTTGCAATGAATGACATGGGAGAAATGGTGATTGAAAAAGGTTAGGTTTCCAATTGTCAATAGATTTTCCGTCAAGTGCAACAATATATATTTTGGTCACTTATTTATCTCATCTGCCTTACATGTTTCGGTTCCAAGGAACCATCTTCAGAGGCACTTACAACAAATCATGAAAACACTGGCACAGCTCAACATCCACAGTATGTAGTTATTTGTGGAAACTATTACATATATCGGAGTGTAAAGCACAACACTTCCCAGTATCTTGAATGCAGGTATAGCACTTGCATCTAAAAAANCACAATACACATCGCGTAAGATACACCCGACCACAAGCCCACACAACCCCGTGCTGACGCCTCCCCCCATTGGGATGATTCACCAAGAAGGAGCCTGAATATTTTACTTGAACGTTTTTTAATTTTTAACTTTAAATTTTAACGTTGACAACTCGGTTTGAGGGTGGTTTTTTAGATGCAAGTGCTATACCTGCATTCAAGATACTGGGAAGTGTTGTGCTTTACACTCCGATATATGTAATAGTTTCCACAAATAACTACATACTGTGGATGTTGAGTTGTGCCAGTGTTTTCATGATTTGTTGTAAGTGCCTCTGAAGATGGTTCCTTGGAACCGAAACATGTAAGGCAGATGAGATAAATAAGTGACCAAAATATATATTGTTGCACTTGACGGAAAATCTATTGACAATTGGTGATTGATAGTGTAACGGACCAAAATGAAACAATTAAAAAAAAAAGGTTAGGTTTAAAAATAGTAGGTATGACTTTGAGAGAGTATTAATGTAGTTTGTTCAATTTGCTCGCAGTTAATTTTTCATAGTTATGACTAACAATAAATGGAATTTCTCTTAAACTGTTATCTTTATATAACAGTTATAATGCCGACTGAAATTTCAACAGGATACTGCTATCTTAACATCACACTGTATGAAGCTGCAGTTATGCTGTGATCCACTTTTGTATATTATACTCACTGAGGAACCCTTATACCACGTTTTCACTGAACATACATGCTATAAACTTTATTATTTCTTGAAAGACGAGATATTTACATAAAAGAGTTCCTCACTTTTCTTTTAATACAGCAAATGTACATCTTTATTCTCATTTTTCTGAGTTATTTTATGGCAATTCACTAGATAGTATAGTGTCAATGATAAATTATGAATTAGGGAGAATTTGGAATTGGTTATGGCATAATAGAGGTACTGCCTTGGCATTTGCCTAGAGGGAGAAAGACAACGAAGGGCCTTGGTTGGGATAGCAGGTGTACCCGCAGATGCAAACAGTCGGAACATGTCGCCTGTAGGCCAGCTTGATCAAGCTTTATCTTTCAGATGACACCATTTTGGTCATTGAGCCGTGACCCCTGTAAGTACATAAAAACTACAACAGAATGACAAAATGTATTTATTTTAATTTGTCTCTTTCCCAAAGGGAGTTTACTGTTGGATGAACGAACTGTACTACAAAATGTGGCAGACATTTACTAAGAATGTAGCAATTAACATACGAAACTACGCAGTGACAGCCTAAAAGACAATAATCCATGTATAGTCACTATCTGAATCTCGAATCTCAAGCTTATGTTACGTTTTGAAACATTGGTGTTCTACAACAAGTAACTGCACGTAATCACATTAAATTCAAACTGCTTTTATTTATGTGATTATAGACATCCAGAAATCAACACGTAGAACATTTATTTACAGTTTATTAAATATGACTGGGATTAGTAATTAGCTTCACATAAGTTAGACTCAAATATAAAGTTTTCCCTGTGATTAATAAAGCACCATGCAATTAAGCTGAATGGAAGGGATGAGGTGAAGCTCCACACATTCTTAAAATTAGGTAGGGGTGAATAGTAACCATGCTCCAGCCACTTTACTCCAGATACCCATCAGATACAAGGCTGGCTGGGTTTCAGAACTGGTCTCAATGCTAAGGAGAAGATAAATTTCTTACCCATGCTGGAAACTGAACCCTGATTCCTCAGCCATCCAACCAGTAGGGTATAGAAACATGAATTGCTGTCTTTTGCTTTCAGTATGTTGCCCCTATGCAACAACATAATTTACCCACAAGATTATGGTGTTCTAGGATTTGTATGTGTGGTTTATGTGACAGTTACCGTTACAGAGCAACCTGGTGCCTCCATCTACCATCAGTAGTTAGTTACCTTTGTGAAGAATCACAGATTTCACAGATTTTATATTGGACTGAGAGATATTTGTTATACCTGTTTGCCATTATGCCAGTCAGTGAATCCTGCATTTGAGGGCATGAACAGTCTTTGCCCCCTTGAACACTGGGACCATGGGTTCGAATCCCACTTGAGACATGGATTTCTGTGTTTATTCTTTGTGTTTTGGTGTAGGTAGCGGCCTTGCAACAGGCTCATTTACGGAGTTCAACCAATTCTATATAAGATGAAGAAACTGAAAAAGTTGCTAAGGTCCAAAGGGTTGTACAGCCATTATGGGTGGGGTTAAATAATTTTCTGTCATTCATACAGTAAGACCATAAATGATTAATTATATGGTTGCATTTTATTAATATCTTCTTGGAACACCTGAGAAAGCTAAATGATGCCCAGAAAGGCCTCAGCTTTTGTTGTATGTAATGGTTCAGTATTATGCTTACAAGATTCCGCCACTTGTCCGTGTTCTTTGTTCACGTTCCCCTATCGCTTAGTTTGTAGTAGTTTGTAAATTCCTGAAAGAGTGCAGCATTATAGCTACATTTAAACTGCAGCCATCTCTTGGAGGAAGTTCAGAATTCGTAGTGAATTTTCTTCTGTTACCAGGCATTGCAAGTGATAGTTAATTAATTTTGTTTAAATTATTAAATGAGTATTTAATAAGTATTTAATTTTATAAAAGAACTAATTATAATGTGGCATGTAATGTTTAAATTCATTGATATTCATATTTTATAATATTTTTTCATAATAGGTTAAATGCCTTTTGATCAATTATTTGAAAATTTTAATGTGAAGAGTTAATAATTTAGATTCGAAAATAAATTATAAAGTAAGCTGGATGTATGAAACTTTTTGAAGTAATAACATATATATATACCATGTTGTGGTTTTTGGCTTCGTCTAACGTATTGATCACTTACTGTGTACTGGTAGATTTTAAACCATCGAGAGAATAACTGTCAGAGCAGCTGAAGTTGTGGTAGTTTTACAGCCGGTTTTATGAAAATTATATGAAACATAGTGATTTTAATACTTTGTGGTTTATGGTGGTTTGTGATATTTACTAAGTGAAAATGGATGAAGGACTGAGTGGTATTTCGGCTGGTGCCAGTGTGGATATAAAACGGACAGATGGTGAGTACTTAGGCCATGTTGCCTGTATGTAGAAATCTAGGTAGTTCGTTCTTCCTAATTTGCGTAGGGGTTGGTGTTGTACGCCGACAAATATGGGAAACGTAAAATTGTACGCAAAGGGCACGGTTTATCTGATTTTCTCTAAGTGATGATAGGCGTAATTTTACATTATGTAAAAAGATCCAGTGAAGCGTTTGAAATGTTGTATGCAGTTTTATTCTATAGTAATGCCAATCGCAACACGAATACATTTCTTGTATTTACTGCTTGCCAATATTTATTACGCCGCCTTAGTTTTAGTATCTGCTTTAAGTTCGATTCAATGGGATATATGTATCGGATTAAAGGATTGTAATTGTAATTGAAGCTGAAACAGGTCAACAAGTGGCTCAACTGCCCATCATACAATAATTAAACTGTGGGAATACATTTTGTTAACGATAAATACGCAGATGGTTGGGTGACAGATAAAATATGTGATTAACTCATTACAACTCTTATAGGTACCTGAAATGTGTTGGATTGTCAGTATCATCTAGCTAGTAATCATGTAATATGCAACAAGAAGTTGTTGTGGATAGAATTTTGTTTAGTGGAAATAGTGGAATATGATTTGATTGCTGTGTTGGATTTATAAACACACTGAAATTATATCTGTGTGTCAAAAAATGCACCAAGAATTAATCGTACACAGGGTATATGATATGAAAAGTAACTTTTTGTTTTATTTCCCATGGATACGGCTCAAAACATATGATATGTACATTTTGCCCACAAGATCGGTGAGTGCCACAATTTCCAATTAGTAATAGATGAGCAATATAGTGATCCACTCACTGACTCCCCATGCAGGTTAGGCAGCAATGTTTTGTCCGTACTGCCTTACAGATCATGAGTGATTCAGTAAATTCCAACAGTTCTGTTCTGTGGTGACTAGTTCATTGCACATCTGATTTCATCAACCTCTTTACACATCTTGGTTAAAAAGAAGGAAAAGTTGTTCACATGCTTAATTAGGTAAGCAATATGTCATGAGGGCATATGGGGGAGTGGAGGTATAGCTCCACATTTCTTGACCTCGGCACTAGATGGAAGTAAGTGGTCAGCTTCACACTCCTGCAGCTTTACCCCTGTACCCATTGGGTAGGAGGCTGCTTAGGCCTCAGAGAGTCTGGATGCTGTGGAGAACAGAAAAATTTTGCACTGCCGGGAATCAAACCCAGACCGTCCAGCCCTTCACTATACCTGACTCGCTCTGCAGCTTGCTACAGTAAAATATTATTCTGTATGTCTCAGCACATGTCATTTATTATTTTACAATTCTTTGGATTCGATGTATGATTTATGTCCATATTGTGTACATATTGTTCTTTGTACTGAATTATACTGCGCTGGACAAGATGGCTCAGGTGGTAACGTTCCACCGTCTCTGACATATTTCAGAGGTTTCTGGTATGAATCTTGGCCGTGACATTGACTGTCCTGGTGGAGGTTAATACCTTGAAATAGGCTGACAGTCTCCTTTCATATCCTCTCCAATTCATCTTTCATTAACCTTTCTGCCTCTTGTGCTGAGAATAAAATTTTACAGGTGACAAACACGATTAATTTCCGGACGTCAATGACGAAAGAGAGAATGAGAAATTAAAAATGAAAAGGCTACCATGCAGGTAACTTTCGATATCTGAATTTTCCTGTATATTCAGAGTTACAGAATGTGTCATTAAATAAGCCATAAATAAATTCATAATGGTTTTAATTGGGGGCATGCGGTGGAATAGTTGGTTGAGGCACTATGCTACAAGCCGGAAGGTCACAGGTTCAAGTCCCGATGAGGTCATTGGATTTTTTCAATTGACCCAATCCTTCCAGCCGCACTATGGCCCTGGGGTCGACTCAGCCTCTAACAGAAATGAGTACCAGGAATATTCTTGAAATATTCTTGAGGGTAAAGGGCGGCTGGCACGTAGGGCTCACAACCCTACTGCCACCTAAGAGCCGATTGTCTAGAAAATGTGGGAAACTCAACATCTCACAACCCTATGGGCCTCCACGGCCTGTTACAGGGGTACCTTTACTTTTTACTTTTTAATGGTTTTCATTTATAAATTGTTTTCTTATATGAATTAAGAATTTTTAGAAAATTAACAGATGAACAGTGTTCAAGGAATTTGAAATCGAAAACGGATTGAAAGAATGTTAGCTAGGCATTTCCCCTCTGTAATTACTGGAAAAAAGAATCAGAACTGAAAACTGTAAAGAAATACAACTATTAATGCCAAATTTAAATAATTTTAATATATAAGTAATATAAAATATATAGTTTATATATTTTAGTGTGATCAGTAAAAGTAGTCTTGGAGAGCTTAAACATCAGTTTGTAAGCAAATGTACTGATTGTCCCCATGGAAAGAATCCTGACAGCACCTGTGTCCTAAGTCCTTAGGTTTGGGGCTTTGTCTGTGACCTGTCCTTGTGGCTGGCCACTGAGCAAGGAAGTGTGCTCCATGGAATTAACTAGGATGTTTATTGTTTGTCACAGTCAGTGCTGACACGTTCCATCTTGAAAGAAATAAAGATTTATGCTACTGCAGCAGAGGGGAAGTAGCGTGAAATTACACAGAGAACATGCTGGCACCTATTGAATGTGACTATTGATCCAATACATGGAACATCGTTGTTTGTTGTATGTGGTTGATACATGTTCCCTGTGACATGGTGTGATATCACATTGCTTCTGTGCCAAGAGACTTGGAACCCTTTCACTAGCTGCTTGCTGGCTTATGACATGTTTCCAAGGTGTAGAAAAATTTCTCTAAAAATCTCAGTGCGTCTTTTAATACATGAGGCTGTAGCAGTAAGAATGAGGTTAACCTGCATTTCATTTTGTTTTGTATGTCTTGTAAGACAGTTACTCTAATTTATTTTATAAATAAATACTTTTTCTGTAATTGATAGGTACTGTGGAGAATATTTTGGTGTAAGAGGGAGGAAGTGACAGGAGGACAGAGAAAATTGCATAACGATGAATTTAATAATTTATATTCATCACACATAATGAGAAAGATTATGTCAATGAGGATTGGCAGGTCATGCAGCACACATGGGAGAAGTGAAGTTTTGGTAGAAGATGTAAAGAAGAGAGGCCACTTGAAAGATATAAGCATAGATGGAAGGATAATGTTAAAATTGATCATAAAAAATTAGGATGGGAGGATGTGGACTGGATTCATCTGGCTTGGGATAGGGTCCAGTTGTGGGCTACTTTGCACTAGGTAGTAGACCTCCATGTTCCATGAGATCCTGGGAATTTCTTGACTACCTGAGCAACTGTTATTTTCTTAAGAAGGAACACGCTGCATGCAGTTAGATTTGCTGTGATTAGTACATTCTATTTTGTGAATCGTGCATTCATTTTATACACACAGAAATATACTGCTTGACTTCATGGGGCAGAGTCCTTCTTGAGAAGCTAATAGTTGCAGAGCAAGTCAGGTAATTCCCAACCTCTCACTGAAGCTGAAAGTTCCATCCTGTTTTCACAAGAGCCTGTTACCAGATCTTATTGTGATCTGTGACATGAAGTCCAGGTCCTCATTTGTAGCCTTATTTGGCATTCTTTGTCTTGAATTTTGCAGTTCACAGTTACGTATGTTTATACTGTGAAACCTAAAGGAAGTAGACCACCAGGAAGATGAAGGTATATATGGGAGGATAATATTAAAACAGATCTTACAGAAACAGGGTTGGGGATGTGTGTTCCATAAGATGTTGAGAATTTCTTGACAATCTGAGCAAATAGCAACTTCTCTGGAAGGCCTCTGAGCTATGGCCCAAGCTCTTTAAGAAGTTAAGCATCTTGGTGTATGCTTGTTTGTTTGTTTGTTTATTTCTTATTTAACAATTCTGTCAGTAACTTGGGTTCTGT